CGGGAATCCGTTTCAGGGGCCTGTGGGGAGTGCGCGGGAGAGTGAGGCCTGCGTTTTGGAGATCATTCGCACAGCTCCGGCGTGCGGCTTCCTCGGGCAAAAGCTACTGGGCCGTTTGGCGGAGGTCGTGAGCCTCGCGGACGCCCTGTTGCTGTCGCCGCGTGCCTCTAGTTTTGCCGAAATATCCTGAGATCGTGTGTTCCGGACCCACACACACACGCTGGGGGAGGAGGGCCTTCTGCGGGAGCGGCATAAAAAAGGGACGGAGGGGCTCGCGGGGCTGCGGCCGCCAACGGGACGGCGTGCAAGGCGCTGCGTGTTGCGGGCGGGCCCGGCGTCGCGTCCCGGGCAAAGGCTTAGAGATGTGGGCGCCGCAGGAGCCTTCAGGCTGAGAGGGCGGATGGACGCAACGTGCGGGGAGTTGCGCGGGAGCGGCGGTCAAGAGCTTTACGCCGTTGGGCGCCTTTTTATTTAAACGATTTTCTTTGAACAGTCGGGAAGGAATTTGTTTGGGCTGCGGTTTGCAGCGGCGGATGCGCATCACATTACCGCCGGCACAGCGAAGCAGCAGCGCAGTGGGTAAGTGGCAGAGGCGTGTTTTAATGGTTGGGGAGCTGTTTCTGCCGTAGAGCTTTTTTGTGGGGGGTGCGCTTTGCGTGCAACATGCAGGCAGTGGGGCATCCGACACGCGGCAGGAATGTGGGGACGCGGGTGACAGGGCCAGTGCGGAAGAGAGAAGGGGAGGAGGGCCCGTTGGGGCAACGAGGTGTGCCAGTGCCGCGTGGGGATATCGTGCAAAGGTGCCGTGCGTGGTGAGTGAGGCGGTTTCGTGCTTCCCTCTCGGTTGCTCCGAGGTGCCCCACTTCCGCGGGCACCGCGGCGTGGCTGGGAGGCGGGTGGTTGCGCCTGCGGCGGTGGCGGTGTCGTGACAGGGGTTGTGGTTGCGTGCATTTTGCCGCCGGGCATCGCTTGGGGCAGATGATGGTGGTGGGTGCACCGCCGTTTTTTTTCTGATTTTTTTGTTTTTTTTCGCCGCGTCCCACTCCTGCTGCACCGCGCTGAGGGAAGTGGGGCCGGCGTTGGGCGAGTTGCGGGGGGCCTGGCGACGGGAACTGCGCTGCGGGATGCGCGCTGCGTGTCGCCGCCGGGCGGGG